AGAGAGAGAGAGAGAGAGAGAGAGAGAGAGAGAGAGAGAGAGAGAGAGAGAGAGAGAGAGAGAGAGAGAAGGGCAACTAGTCCTAATCAAATCATCTTTCCGCAGTAGCAGCCAAATGTCGGTCACCCATCCCACAATAGTAGCACTCAAATGCCGGTCACCCATCCTACAGCGGTAACAGCCAAGTGAGAACCGGAACACTACCAAAAACATGAACTTGACAAAATGAGAGTACGAGTAGTGAAAGCACAAGCACATGAGAAGTTGAACAGACAAGTGAGAACGAGAACACTACCAAGAGCACAAACTTGACAAGATGAGAGTATGAGTAGTGAAAGCACAAGCACATGAGAAGTTGAACAGACAAGTGAGAACCGGAACACTACTAAGAGCACGAACTTGACAAGATGATAGTATGAGTAGCGAAAGCACAAACACATGAGAAGTTGAACAGCCAAGTGAGAACCGGAACACTACCAAGAGCCTGAACTTGACAAGATGAGATGAAAGCACAAGCACATGGGAAGTTGAACAGCCAAGTGAGAACCGAAACACTACCTAGAGCACAAACTTGACAAGATGAGGGTATGGGTAGTGAAAGCATAAACATATGAGAAGTTGCACAACCAAGTGAGAACCGGAACACTACCAAGAGCACGAACTTGACAAGATGGGAGTATGAGTAGTGAAAGCACAAGCACATGGGAAGTTGAACAGCTAAGTGAGAACCGGAACACTACTAAGAGTATGAACTTGACAAGATGAGAGTGAAAGCACAAGCACATGAGAAGTTGAACAGCCAAGTGAGAACTGAAACACTACCAAGAGCATGACCTTGACAAGATGAGAGTGGAAGCACAAGCACATGAGGAGTTGAACAGCCAAGTGTGAAACGGAACACTACAATGAACATAAACTTGACAAGATGAGAGTACGAGTAGTGAAAGCACAAGCACGTGAAAAGTTGAACAGCCAAGTGAGAACCGGAACACTACCAAGAGCATGAACTTGGCAAGATGAGAGTATGAGTAGTGAAAGCACAAACACATGAGAAGTTGAGCAGCCAAGTGAGAACCATAACACTACCAAGAGCATGAATTTGACAAGATGAGGGTACAAGTAGTGAAAGCACAAGCACATGGGAAGTTGAACAGCTAAGTGAGAACCGGAACACTACCAAGAGCATGAACTTGACGAAATGAGAATAGGAGGAGTGAAAGCACAAGCACATGAGAAGTTGAACAGGCAAGTGAGAACCGGAACACTACCAAGAACATGAACTTGACAAGATGAGAAATATGAGTAGTGAAAGCACAAGCGCATGAGAAGTTGAACAACTAAGTGAGAACCGGAACACTACCAAGAGCATGAACTTGACGAAATGAGAATAGGCGATCCAGAGCAACATATGCTCGCCCCTCTTTCCATTGTAGCCAAAGGAAAGTTTCATTTTCACTTTTTCATTTCTTTTTGGCTTTTCAACTTCTTTGGCCGGTTCTTTTGTAGCAGGTTCTTTTTTCTTTCCCGCCGATTTCTCAATTACTTTCTTTGAACTTTCGGGTGTTTCTGGCGTCACCCGTTTCATTGCATCCTTCATGAGATTTTCCTGAGTTCTTTCTTTTCTCCCCCCTTAGCCTCCTCCTCAATCACCACCATGTCTTTCCCTTTACTGAGTCTAGTCATAGTTGCAATTGTGACGATGTTACTATCAATCTTCATCTCGAGGTGGGCGAGGTAAGCCATCATCGCGTGCAAAACGGATGCAAGGTCGGATTCTGCTCCCTCAATATTAAACTTCTGTTTGATTTCATCCATTTTTCTTTCTTGTTGTTTTTTTTCCTTTTTTCTCCTCTGGCACTCTTCCATCTTTCTTCTTTTCGCATTCAATGTTTCTTCCAATTGGTTGATGTTCTCCAACATGACCTCTTTAGACAATTCTGTTTTTTCCTTCTCTCCGCTTCTTTCTCCCTCCTCTTCTTTCCTTTTGGCCCCGCTATTGGTTATCTCCGTTAGTTGACCGATCACAAATTTGTCCAGAGCCTGTCGGCTTTGAATGATGATTTGTTGTACATGAGTGCTGGCTTCCATCATCCGAACAACCGTGTCATCCTGCTCTGGTTCGGTTTTTGTTGCTTGCAGATCAAATTGGTTGTGCACATGCTGCTTAGCATCTGGTCCAGCATCATGTAAATCGACGATCAACTGATGGAGAGGGCCCAACATCTGTTGCCTTCTATTTGCGATTTGGCCACGGGTTCTCAATTCAACACTTTCTTCATCAACGAGGAAAGCGAAGGAGACAGGGAAAAAAAAAAGAGGGATGAAGCGATCCAAGACAGAAAGGCGCAAAGAATTCCCGAAGAAAGATATTTTCAAAATGTGTGTCTGCCGCATAATAGATAATCACAAGATAATCATAAATTGCATGGCCACACCGGATGTCAATCTACTACAGCAAGAGACAATTAAGCAAACATAAAGAAGTTCAAACTTCAATTTTCTCCTAATTCTAACTTCTGTTGTCTGTCCTATGTGTGATGATGTCCTAACAAAAGTGTACAAGTACCGCAGCCACGACCAGTGTGATCAAGACACAACAACACAAGTGAGTACGCACGGCAACCACAGAACAACCAGACAAGTGAGTAAGTCAGCCAACACACTCGACAACAATCAACTGTCAGCATTCTTTCCTCTACGGTTGTACCATCTGCAGAACCAATGCAGCCAGACACAAGGGACGACACGTGGTACTACAACAATCGTGAAGTTGTACCGCCTGCCAGCACACAAGTGCAAGTATCAACACCTCACCCACGACAGCTTGCAAGGCATGCCACATCTCACCCTTGGAATGCTAACGCAACACATGTGTCACGTTCGCATCAAGAGCCAGCGCAACCTTCTTGTGGGATGACACGTCAGCAATGCCCGAACTACCAACTCATCCACCACTGATATGCCACGTGAGATCGAAGTAATATGGTTGGAGTGTGGAGCGCCACATCAGTAGGTAAGTCGCGAAACAGGTGCGTGCCACGCCACACAGTACCCTGACAATCCTAGGATGCCACGTCGGCACCCCTGCGCTATGCCACGTAGGCAGCGCGCCACGTCAACAACCTCGATACCCACTCTCTCTCTCACTAGCGCCATGTCAGCCTCCTGCCAACGATTCTATCGCCGGTATCTTGCCAGGTCAGAAACAAAGTGCCACGTAAGCAATGTCGTCGTCATCACTTCAAGCTGTCTACGTCATCATCTTCAAGGGAATGTGCACGCGAGCGTGGAAACCAATGTCTAGACTCACGTTAGTAATCACGCGCATTAATAAACGCGTTTCTCTCCTTTCACCCGTGGCACCTCCCACTTACCTGGGCGCCACTTGGCGCCTGACAGCAAATCACGACGAAGAAGGAATGCCCCATTACCAAATTGTAATGAACCCAGTCTGTAGGATACTTGCCAGATGTCGAAATACAAAGTAACTCAACTTTGAGCAATGTCTCCAATAATCATGTATGTGATCTCTAATACAATGTCTCGTTTCCAATAGACGAAGAGAGTGGAGGGGGAATAGACAGATTAGAAGTTGGAAGAGAAAGTACCCATCAATGACCACAAAGGGAGTGGCCCAACAGTTCCCACTCCTTCTTCGGGCTTCCCTTCGCCTCCACGTCAGCAAAACAATATCCAGTAACGGACCTGGCAGGTCCTGATCACATCGAAGTGCCACTTGGCACAGTTCTCTCGTGAAGATGTTGGAGACAATCAGCAGCGTATAGTATCGACATCACCCGCAGGTAAGTATCCCATTGCCTCTCAATCATCCACAGATCCCGATCTCCCTCCTTGTCACGTCCAACTCAGCAATGTAGACAATGAGGCAAATGCCACGTCAACAATGAAGATAGAGTGGCATGCGCCACATCAGCAATGTCGAAGACAACGTGGCCTTGTGCCACGTCAGCAGAGGCTGGCGCTGAAGAAGAAGGCGCCAACACGCAAGCAAGCACCAATCTCGCGTCGTCATCCACAGTGCCAGCGTACAGCCAGCGTCAAGCCAGCATCTAGCTAGTGTGAAGCCAGCCTCAAGCCAACTTTAAGGCAGCATAGCAAGAACCAATGTTGACTCCTTGGAGCCAGGGTCTTATGTAGTGATAAATCGAGTTGACCCACCTCAGGTCTCCCACTCACGGTGGTTCAGATTGACTTACAGCCAAGGGCATGGATTGCATACAGTTGCAGACTTCCACTTGGTTCAAATGTTGTCTCGGTACCTGCATACAAACAAGTGTGTGTGTCTGACCGGCGGCCTGGGCTGGGTCCATATTGACTTTGACTATTGGGCCTCAGGCAGTTGACGGAAGTCAACTGTTGGGCGGTGAGGCCCTGGCACCACGTCGGGTTTTTTTTTGCCCCTTCGGCCTAAGGCTGGTTGTGGCCTGACCAGGCCCATAAACATTCAACGAGGCATATGCAGTGGGTCACTGCACTTGCCTCTACTACCCTTGAATGTGTATTTTGTCATCTTTCTCTCCAAGTTTTGATCAATCTTCTAGTTGGGTGCAAATTGCTACTTATATTCTTGCTTCTTCTAGTTTAGTGAGCTTTATTTCCTCTTGTTTTGTCAATTTCTCTACTCCCATGTAAATCTCTACTTTGGTCTTCGCCTCTACTAGCCTTGGGCGTGTGTTTTGTCATTCTCCTCTTTAAGTTTTGATCAATCTTGCTTGGGTGTAAATCGTTAGTCGTTTTCTTGCTTCTTCAATTTCTCCTCTGTCATGTAGTTTTTCCCTCCACTTGCCTAGTGTGAGTGTTTTGTCAATCTTTCCTTCCTCGCTTTGAGCACTCTTCCACTTGGTAGTATTCCACTTTACTCTTGAGTATTCGTCTAGTCAAATGCATCTGCCTTGTCAAAGTTTTCTCTCATGGTTTTCTTCAATCTTCCATTTGATAGCACGCCTACGGCGGACCCACCAGGTGTGGTGCTCCGCGTTGGATAGAGATGGAGATGGAGGAAGAAGGGGGGAGCGAGATGGCGCAGCGCAGCTCCCACGCCAGACTCCAACACACGTACTTCAAAGGTTGCGAATGTAGAATGCCCCGAAAAATAGACAACAGCTGGGGTATACCCCAACGGACTGACTGGACTGGACTGGACTGGCTGGTACCGACAGATGTACCGGTCTGGACATGACTACCCCGAATACAACACAGGCCTGTGGGAACAGGCCAAGGGGCTGGTCTCACATGCCAACCAGAGGTCAGCTACACGATCCCCGGCCTCTGATGGATCGCCTAGATACAAGTAAGCTTCCGCGAAGAAGCGAAACTCTACCAAAAAAAAAGAAAACCTAGGATGCGGAGCAAGCTCCATGTTGAGTCCATGCGATGCAACCTAGGATAGAAAATGTCACAAAACAGCAATGTCACAGCTAACAGCCTAAGTGAAAGCAAAAGCAACTAACTAGCATACATGTCCTAGGAAAGCAGAAAGTAATGACAACTAGATCCTAGAATGTTGGAGGCAGTAGCCTTAGTCTCGAAACAACTGACTAGTGTATAAGTCCTAAGAATAGCAAAAGCAGAACAACTAAATCCTAGAAATGTCAGAGGCAGTAGCCTCAGTCTGAGAGCAACAAAGCAACAACAAGACAACCATATGTTACAGAAGGAGTGTGCCGCAAACCAAAGGGTGGGATGGTCTCTGAGGGTGGCGAATGCAGCCTAGGGGTCGATAACTCCTAAGGGCATCCACACATAATGACAGGGGAACACATGTCATCAGGCTTAATGAGGGTAGGGAACTGGGAGCGAACAGAACCAATGACCCTAACAGATAGACCATCAGGGCGGGTAATGCTCGACTAAAGGGGTGACCGTTATGGAGGGTCAACCATGCAAGGGAATAAGGGAGCGTGGTATACTGGGCGCACCTAGATGAAGCATGCGATGCTGCCTAACTAAGGCGTGAGGGCCGACAGAGGGTAGAAAAAGTAATGGGTAAGAGAATCATGCAAATGACTCCTAAGGTGGGGGAAGTCGGAGCTGGATCCGTAAGCTGGGAAGCCAAGGCAACGCTACAGTCCCGATGCCTATGCGTATACCAAGGGAGAGCCCAACTCAGAGGAACCCGGCGAAGGGAGACCACCATGCGACACAACCAGGGTACTGTACAGGGTAAGGTGGTAAGAGAGTGACGACTTCTGAAGTAGGCAAAGCTGATAATGACGAAGTCCATGAAGCTGCCGATGACGTCCATGATGAGAAGTCCGGAATGTCGTCGAGGAAGAGCCGCAACGTCGACGAGCTGAAGTGGCAAAACTGGAGTGGATGGAGTACTGAGAAGTAAAAAACGTGTGAAGATAAGTCAGAGTCAATCGTCGTATTGAGCAGGACGACGACGAGTGTGTTGTGGACGCTCAGAAGAGTCTGGCTACTGCTGAAGATCTGCCTCAAATGGAGCACACTCGACTTCAGCGATCTCCTCAGCCGAGGGAGAAGGAGGAGGGTCAATGGGCTAAGGAGGAGCAGTCAACCCAGATCGACGAGCACGGTCATAGGCACGCATCAACATGCGAGCGTGCTGCAAGTGCTCGAGGGGCTCCCATACAACCTCCTCATCACGGTAACCCTTCCAACGTATGAGATACTCGACATGGGGGGGTTGTCGCCGGTGACTCAGCGACCAATGATGTCTGAAACGAGGAACTCCTCGTGGCCATCCACCATGATGGGTGGAGGGCGCTCGTATGGTCGTCCAACGAAATGCTCAGACGGTCTACGGTAAGGACGCAGTACGAGACGTGGTAGACTTCGTGCACACGAGCCTGGTGTAGGTAGTCGGGCAGCTTCACACGAAAGTTGATCGGGTTAGAAGCCGTAACATAACCGACGGCCTGGAGAATGCGGCATGGGCCAAAGAAGCGACGCCGAAACTTGCGAAGCGTGTCCGCTTCGAGCTGTAAGTGGCGGGCATCGATAAGCACATCATCACCGACTTTGAATGGATGATCCATCCTCAATCGGTTCACACGTGCTGCCATGCGAGAATGGGAAGCAACTATGTGCTCATGCGCGGTCTTCATGATCGACGTCATGTGTGCAACCCAATCATCTAGCGCGGGACAACTCGTGTTGGGGTGCATCTGTGACGGTCGATGGAAGTCCGCGGGAACACGAGGGTGATAGCCAAGGTCGCAATAGTAAGGCAACGGCGAGACGGCGTGGTTGTAGGCTATCTCCGTGTGGGAAAGATGAAGATCCCACTGCTGGTCGTCACGAATAATCTTTCGGAGAATATCTCCGAGAGTCCTGTTCCTGACCTCGGTCTGACCATCAGTCTGGGGATGGTAAGACGAGGAGAAGCAAAGTTGGGTGTCATAAACCTTGTGGAGCCGTCGCCAAAATCGGCTGGTAAAGCGCGGGTCACAGTCGATATGATGCTCAGAGGTAAGCCGTGGTCACGCACAACTCGGTCAAACACGATGTCGACGACCTCACATGCACTGATGGCATAGCGGCACGGAACAAAGCGTGCACGCTTTGTAAAGCGGTCGACAACGACCAGGATATCATCATGACCTCGGGGGGTCGGAGGACGAACAGGACCGATAAAGTCCATCGAGATGGATTGCCAACGACCCTCATGGATAGGAAGAGGTCGGAGCAAACCATAAGGCAAGTGGTTCGCACTGTTCACATCCTTACAGGTAGGACACTCTACGACGTAGTCCTTCACAAAGTCCTTGCGCTTCGGCCAGACGTACAGGCGGCTCACACGAGCCAACGTCTTGTGGAAGCCCATATGACTGGCGGCTGCCTGGTCACGGAACTCTGCTACTGCCTGGACACGTAGTTGTGAAGTGAAGGGAACGCAAATACGGGGCTCTGTGGTGCCCTGTGAACCATGCCAGTACACAAAACCGTTGTCCCCGAGAGAGTAGTTCGGGACGGTCTTGCCACTCTGAAGGGTCACATGGATGTCGCAATAGTCGGGGCAGTGGCGGTACTGAGTTCTCACCCTTGATGTGCTCAGTGGTGAAACTAAACTCGGACAGGTCGCACCACCAGCGAGCCTATCGAGGAGTGAGCTTCAGCTTCGTCAGAAAAGCCTGGATAACAGAGTTGTCTGTGCGCACTGTGAATGGTGCCCCATGCAGGTAGTGACGCCAGTGCCGAGAGGCACAAACTACTGCGAGAAACCTCACGTTCATCAGCAGTGTAGTTTATCTCGGCGGGCAGGAGCTGACGAGAATAGAAGGCTATCAGACAATCACCTGAGCGAGACTCGATAGTGTCGTCCTCGACGATGGTAGGAAAATAGTCAATAGAAGGCTCGTCGATAGCTGGACGAGTAGGCGTCTGGCGAGAGGCGGTGGTAGGGGTAGGGGGTGGGAAGCGAGGGATACGCGGATGAGAGGAATCATGAGAGGAGGGAAAAATCTGAGAAAACACTACTCCTACAACAAAGTCTAACGCATCGGTGGTAAGGATAAAAGGGCGATCAAAATCAAGTAGGTGAAGAACTGGTGCACATGTCACCGCCTTCTTGAGGGCGCGGAAGCCGTCCTCGTGGAGGGGTGTCCAAGCCCATGGCGGGTTGTTCCGGAGGAGGGTGGAGGTAAGGATGTAGGAATACCTAGCGTATCCCTGGATGAAATTACTATAGTAGCTAGTGAGGCCTAGAAAGCTGCGAAGTTGCTTGGCGGATGTGGGGATGGGCCACTCCGCAATAGCAGTGCGCGTCGTCCATGTGGAGACTCTAGTCAAACATGTAATGTCCTAAAATATCCACTTTGTGCTGGGCAAAGCGGCACTTGCTCAGCTTGGCGCAGAAGCCATGTCTGCACAAGTGGTCAAGGACGTCGCTGAGGTGTCTGAGATGCTACTCAAGGATACGATTGTAGACCAGGATATCGTCGAGGTAGACGAGAACGTACTGCTCCAGGATGTCCCTGAAGATGTCGTTCATCGCCCTCTGGAAGGTAGCGGGTGCGTTGGTGAGGCCGAATGGCATCACAATAAACTCGTAGTGGCCGAAGCATGATCGGAACGCTGTCTTTTGCTGGTCTGTTGCAGCGATGCGGATCTGATGGTAACTGCTACGAAGATCAATCTTCGTAAAGAAGCGGTTGTCTGCTAGGTGGTCGAACAACTCGTCGGAACGAGGCATGGGGTAACTGTTCTTCACCGTGTAGCGGTTGAGGCCGCGATAGTCGATGCAGAGACTGAGAGTTCCATCCGCTTTGCGAGCAAAGAGGACGGTTGCACCCCACGGGGAGTTACTGGGTTTAATAAAACCCAGTCTCATGAGCTCCTCAAACTGACGCTTGAGTTCGGTGGCCTCGGGATCGAGAGTCTGTAGGGTGCCTGGTGGTGAACACGATAGTCAGGCACCAACTGGATGGAGTGCTCGACGTCGCGCATCGGTAGGATGCCGGTGTACGAGAACGACGATGGGAAAACGTCGTGGTACTCTCGAATGAGGTTACTAACTGCGGGCTCCAAGTCGGCCGTATAGCGTGCGAGTTCCTTAGCGTCAGTGCACGACGGCTGGGTGGACTCAATAGATGGCAGAGAGAGGGAAGTAGAGATGGGAGCCATGAAGATAGAAGGAGGATCTGGCTCCAGAGAGATGAGCTCGGCGTCGGGACAGGGTGAATCATAGTGCAAAAGATTTGTAACGTTCAATGTAAAGAAGGTGACATCGTCCTGTCGGATGAAGTGAGCGAACTGCCGAGGCGAGGTGATAGTGATAGTAGGAGATGGTGTGGGCACGGAAGGCTCCGGGGGAGGAGGGTCGGGGCGTCGTGTCGCAGTGGTACCTATGAAAGGTACGCGATACGTCTGTCTACACTCCGTTTTGAGAACGAGAGTGTTGGTCGCCCAATCGGCCTCGGTACTGCGGAACCGATGGGACCACGGAGTACCGAGAATGAAGTCGTACCTTGTCTCCATCACATCGAAATGTGCAGAGGAGCGGTGGCGATGAGACGTCGGGGGAATATCAGTCGGCTCGAGAGTGAGGAAGAAAGGGAGGTCGGTGACCGTCTGATCGAAGAAGCGCTCGGTCTTGTCATCCCCTAGGGTGACAGAGATGGGAGTCGGAGACCCGGTCGTGGGTAAGCGGGCTTCTTTCACCACACGTGGGTGAATGAAGTCGCCCTGAGAGCCGGAATCCCACAGCGCTGAGAACACCCTCGTGGAGGTCCCCAGTCGTACTGGAATGATCGGGAGGGTGTGGTGAAGGTGAGACAGGATGGTGAGAAGGCGACGCATTGCAGCGACATGGAGGGTGAGTCGCTCCTGACGAGCCTGGAGCATGCTTTAGTCCAGAAGAGAGGACACAACGTCCTCGTGAGTCGCAAGCTGCTCGCTACAACGGGCTGAGCGAATGGCTCGACGCGTCGATATTCGCAGAGGGGTAGGAGGGGAGACGGTGGTCTGCGGAGGCGCAGACGGTACTGCGACAGAGGGCTGAGTACACTCTGTCGGGTCCTACGATACCTCAACTCTAGTAGCGAGAGGGGCGAGCCGCGACGGAGATGGTGGGAAACCATCTATGGAGGAGGGCGCAGGTGTACACTGCACCGTGGGTAGGAGGCGCCGCGGGGATGTGAGGCGCATGGGGGGGACTGAGCACGACGCTGGCGGGAAAGGTTAGCGTAGTGGCGGTCGAGGGCGGCGATGTAAGGGCACCGCGAGGAGGTATGACCATCCTGGCGGCATTGCAAACACCCACGCCGACCCAAAATGGCCGCGCGCTCCTCAACGGAAAGGACACCACCAAGAGGGACAAAGCCCTGAGGGAGGTCCTGCTGAGGGACCTGGAGGGGCGACGCGCCAACGTGACCAAAGCGGTTGCGTGTCCGGGAGAGGGCGGAGAGGATGAGCTGGAGGCGCTCGACCATAGGTAGAGTAGAGTCCTCTAGGTGGTAGTGGATGGCCTCACCGAGGTCGAGGTCGTCGCTATGGTCACCCTCAGGCGACAACAGGGCAACATCGTCCTGCTCTCCATGCTCGAGCTCGATGAAGTGGCACGAGAAGTGGCAGCCCTGCTGGGTGGAACGGTGGGGGCAGCCGCGGAAAGGGGAGCGGCGCTGGGAAGTGTCGTGAGATGAGGAAGGGGTGTAGCCAGTACGCTGAGGCTGGGAGGAGGAAGCGGGGTGAAGACGGGCCCGCATCCGCTGATGGGTCTTTGCGGCCTCATAGGCCTGCAGGGCCGATGTGAACTCATACCGCTATAACTCGGAGCGGTACTCAAGGGGAAGGCTGGCCAAGAAATGGCCGATGAGGGCAGCCTCGGGGAGGAACGCCACATCACAAATGAGGAGGGCGTCCTGAAAGACCTGGATGTGGCGGTCCAGGCCGGCAACGCCACCAGAGTCGGACTCGGGTGTGCCGACGATACGCTCGAAGGCGCCAGTGACGTCATATCGAGCTCCGAAACGATCCTCGAGGAACGCTTGAAAATCCATGAAGGTCGGGGTCCGACCCTCACGAAGGGAGTGCACGTAGAAATCCTCGCGGGCATGAAAAAGACCGCCACGCAGGCGCGTGGAGAGGTGAGTCACCCACGTGTTGGGTGGGGCGCCCATAAGTTGGAGCGTGTGGGTAGCAGATTGCAGCTACCGAGACACGTGTATCCCTGTACAATCGTACAAGGCAATGTCCGTCAAGCGGACGAGTGGCGCGCCACCGTTTTGGCGGCAAGGGGATCGAGGAGCAGAGGCCTGTGCTACGGCTGAGTAAGTCGGCGCAAGTCGAGCTGCTGTGGAAGAGGTTGCAGCAACCGAGGGAATAGGAAGAAGGTAGGATGGGGATGGATAGGGTGCAGGGCAAGGGAAGCGAGCCTACATGGAAGGAAGAGTAGATGAGGAAGGGGTGCGCCCGAAGGCGCGGCCACCTGTGAGGGTAGGGGTGGCTGAAGGCGTAAGAGCGCGAGGTCGGCCCGGGTCTGGGCAAGCTCGTCCTCAAGACGTCGAACGTAGATTGAGCGAGGAGTGGCAGGAGGAAGAGTGGGGGAAGTGGACGCACGAGCGGCGGGGGGCATCCCACATGAGGGAGAGCCAGGTGGCGCTACAGTCGTGCGAAGGGGAGGGAGAAGTGGGGCACCCGAAAAAGATGAGACCACGGCAGTAGGTTGTGGTCCCATGGCCGTAGTGACCGAAATCTGGGCGGGTGCGCCCGTAGAGTGAGGGAGGGCCTAGTCCGTGGCGGCTTTCGCGCTAGGAGCATGAACGGTCACCAGGATGGCCGGATCGGGGGCGGCAGAGGAGGAAGCTCTGTCGTGGCCACCATGTCGGAGGATGGGGGACCCAGACTGGGAGCCAGGAGAAGAGAGAGAGTGAGGAGAGGAAGGACGACCAGCGTCCTGGAGTTGTCGCAGGCCAACGACAAGAGTCGCCACTTGCGCCTGTAGGGGCGCAAGAAGGGAGGTGATGAGGGTGTGCAGATCCCCCTGGGTGTGGAGCCCGATGCTGAGGTCGGCGCCGCCTCGGCGGCTTGGGACACGCCGTCGACCATGGGGAGGTAACGGGCCGGACTAGAAAGGGCCGGGGGAGGTCCGCGTGAGCGGAGGGCGTAGGGGGAGGTCTGCGATAGAAGGCGACGGGCGACGCTAGTAAATCGAGCGCGGGCGCCGTCAAAGGGGGAGGGGTGGTTCGG